CGCACCCGCTGAAGCTGCCGGTCGCCGGACTGGGAGAGGTCTCGGGCGATCGCCCCGTGCTGGAAGACGGGCGGCCGCCCTCTGTCCCTGTAGAGTGCTGCGCCGCGCTGCACTTCGACTGTCTCTTCGCGGGGCTCTCGGGGAGGGGGTCCCCTTTTGCAGACCCGTCGGTCTCCTTCCGCGCGCCTCTTCCTGCTGCGCAAGCCTGTTAGACGAATTGCTGACGGGGGGTCGATGGACCCTCCAAGTTGAAAAGAAGCAGTCCTCCATTCGGCGGCAAGCCCAAGGGGGAAGCGAATGGGGGCGGGTGTTCTCAGAAGGCTCGGAAGGCCTCGGGCCTTCTGACGTGTTTTCTAAATCTCCCCAGCAGACGCAAAACAACTTATCAGAGGGCTGGAGGGCTTCTGAGAAGCCCCGCCGCCAATGTTGAGGCATGCACCCTCTCACTTCCCCCCATGCGCGCAGCTGATCCGACCCTACAAAGGATGCAGGCTTTGAAGCCGAACGCGCGCAACGCTGAAGCGAAAACGCAGTCTTGAAAATGATCTGCCCTCTGTGCTTCAAGCGGCTGCACATGGTCAATACGAGCACGCGCAGTGCAAAAGCGAGAGCCCTATTCGGAAAACGACCCGCCCTGCATCCCTGTAAACGCTGCAAGGTTTTGAAACGAGTGCGCGCGACGCTACAGCAAGAGCTCCATTATTTTAAACGGCCCTCCCCCATCCTCATATATGTTGGGGACGTCGAACTTCCGGGTAGCAGGTTGTGAGAAAGTCTCGGGCGAAACGCCCAGCTCGCCATACCGACGCACCTGGTGGTCAGGCGAGGCGGGCGGAGAAACCCAATAACACGCAGGCGCCACAGGGCTACCAGCCCAGCGTGCCGACCAGAGGGGGAGGCGCAGGCCGTTGCGCCTCCTGCAAGGGCAGAGCCCGAGCAGGAGGTCCGGTTCAGCACTGCAGGGGTCTGCCCCCCCAGCGGGGGAGCACCCGCAGAGGAAGGAGGCCCCGCCTTCCCCTCCGTCAAGCCCGCCGCCCCCAAGCGGCGGAGACCGGCACCGCAGCGCCAAGTCCACGAGTCACCGACAGGAGGAGGAGGAGGAGGAGGAGGAGGAGGAGGAGGAGGAGGAGGAGGAGCAGGAGGAGCAGGAGGAGGAGCGAACGTAACCTGGCGGAAACGTTCAGCGTTCTAGCGGCAGCCCGGCCGCGCGGCGCCCTGGGTCAGGGCGCGCGAGGAGGAGCTGACGCGGACGTAGTTCTTGTCGGACGAGGCAATCGGGAAGAAGCCCAGGGAGTCCGCATAGGAGTCCATGAGCGAGTTGAACAAGTCCACGCATTCAGTGGAGCGGATGTGCGTGAGCAGGCGGTCGAAGTACTCGACGAATTCGGCATTGGTGACAGTAGTCACGTCGTGCATGTTCGGCTTCTCGTGCTTCGGTGGGTTGGCCGAATGTTCATCCGAGAACTCCTTGCTGGCGGGCTGGTGGATGTTCTCCATCTTCGCCACCCGCATGCCGAGGGACTCGAGGTGCTTGTTCACTGAGTTAGTGAGCAGCTGTATCTGCTCGCGTACTGTGTCGAAGAGCTGGTTGTAGTTGGAGGTCGTCTGCTTTAGCATGTTCTCCGAAAGTGCCAGCAGAGACTTGCCATTGATCGAAGTCAGCTCTCTGGCCCATGCCGCGAGCGTGTCTTCCAGCATGTTCACCGTGACGAGCGGGGTGGCGGGAGCGGAAGACACCGTAGCCGTGCGGAGCGGAGGCAAGTTCGTGTCAAAGAAATGGTTGTCGGCGCCAGAAGCATCCGCAAGAGCGTGCCCGCGAGGCTCTGGTAGAGCGAGGGCGTCAAGATCGTCCAGAAGACCATGCAGGGCGGCACCCACAGGGTGGTGGCGGGCTACCGATTGAGTAATAAGATTACCCTGACGGTCGTCAACGTGCCACTCTGGGTCTCCCGCGGCATGAGCATCACCAGAGACAGGGCTAGGAAATTGTTGATCGCCAGCGGCATGAGCATCACCAGCAGGATTGAGGTCTTCAGCGGAGTCACCATCATCTTCACGTTGATCTGCGACGCGACCGGCATGAACATCACCAGCGACACATGCAGGCCGCGCATGAGAACCAGCAGGGCAACCCGGAAAACGAAGAATTGCAATTGAGTCTCCAGCGGCGTGAGCATCACCAACGACGGATCCAGGAAACGGTTGACCGCCAGCGGCATGACCATCCACAGCGTCGCAGTCACGGCGTTCGCGAGGTCCAGCAGGAGCGCCCGATTCAGGAGGGATTGCTTGAGCAGTGCCAGCGGCATGAGCAACACCAGCAGCGGATGAATGAAATGAATGAGCCACATCGGCAGCACGGGCGCGTATATGTACGTGCAGGTGGTCACGATCATGGGCAGCATCAGGAAACACGTCGGGAGTAGGACCTGCGCCTTGTATGCCATGAACATGTGAGGGGAGCGGGCCAGCACCAGCATCCGCACGGCGAGGTACCCGAGGCAGAGGAAGGAGATCACGTGCAGCCCCAGGATGGGGGAGCGAACCAGCTCCATGACGTAGCGGAGCTGCAGTGGCAAGCGGTGGCAGTGGCAGAGGAGCAGGAGGAGGAGGAGGAGGAGGAGGAGGAGGAGAAGCAGGAGGAGGAGGAGGCGGCCGCGGCGCGGCGCAAGCGGGCCCGCCACTCCGGGGAGGCCGTGGTGCCTTTCGTGGTGGAGGACCACGGCCGCCTGGGCGAGGATGCGCTGGCCCTGACGCGGCTGCTCGCGCCCGCGCAGGATGCGGGGCGTTCGGCGGCCATCCGGCGACTGCACCAGTCGCTCGGGTGCATGCGTCCTCCAGCGCATCGCCGATTCGCAGCCGACGCTGTCCTGGCGGCGACGCACGCGCAGGGCTGGGCAGCCGGCGCTAGGCGGGGCGCCCCGGCAGGGGGCTGAGCCGCAAAACAGCCCCGGCGGCCGACCAGACTGGCGCGGCGCGGCGACGCCGGCCGCGCGCCGACCAACTGCAACGCGGGCTGGGGGGGCGCTGGTGGACGCTGGGCGCGGCTGGGCGCTGCTGGCTGGAGGGCTGCTGTGCGGGGGACTTGCCAGGCGCTGCGCCCGGCCCGGGGCGAAAGCGGCGCTGGCGGCGCGCGGCAAGGAGCCGCAAACCTGGCCGGACACCCAGAGGCCAGTCCCGGACGCGAGAGGGGGCCCGGGCCGGGCGCGGGCGGAGGCGCGCACCCGCGCGACGGCGCGACGCTACTGCTGCGCGAAGGCGCGGCCGCCGGCGGCGCCTCCCGCGGACGGCTGGCTGGCGCGCTGGCCGCCCAAGGGCCCGGGGAGAGCGCGCGGGAACTGCCGCGAAGCGGGGTCGAGGTGCTCGCAGTCGACGGCGCCATTCCTCCGATGGCCGCGAAGCTCCCTGGTATGCTTTCAAATGAGGCCGTGGCTGGCGGACCCCTCCCCACCTGGGACATACCGTTGTCGTGGACAGTCGGTCACCCCCGGGGAAACAGTCCAGTTTTTGTTGGGGCGGGGGAGGTGTCCGCCGGCTCACAATCAACGTGCGCCCGCGGAGAAGACCCGCACGCGCCGCGGAGGAGGAGGAGGAGGAGGAGGAGGAGGAGAGAAGGAGGAGGAGGAGGAGGAGGACCAGTGTAAACCCAAGAGTCATCAACGATGTTGGAATAAACCCTCCCCCAAAGCTCCCTCTTCATAGGCCCCTACAGCGGTTCATTTCCACAGAGGGACCTGCCTCATTGGAAGACGACGGTTTGAAGACCCTAAAGCATGCCAAAACATTATTCTCGGTATTCCAACGCCACGGATGAACCTGACTGTTGCGTCTTGACGATCCTGAATCGTGCCAGAACGCCATTCCTGGGAACTCAACTCCGCGAATCATCGTAACTGTTGCGCCCTCAAAACCGTGAGTCCTTCCAAAACACGATTTCTGGTACGCCGGTCTTGAGAACCCATGGAACCCTTCCAATGTTTAAGCAAGAATGCGCGCGGGGCTAAGGCGAGAGCCACAATTTGAAAAAGAACCGCTCTCAATCCGTGAAGCTCTTACAAATTTGTTAAACGAATGCGCGCGGCGTTGAAACGAGAGACAAAATTGAAAACAACCCGCCCTCAATCCGTGAAGCTCCTGCAATATATTTCAAAGGGATGTGCGCGGCGCTGAGACGAGAGCCACGTTTTGAAAACGTCCCGCCCTCAAGCCGTGAAACTCTTGCAAACGTTGAAAACAGATGTGCTCGGCGCTAAGGCCAGAGCCACATATTGAAAACGAACCGCCCTCAATCCGTGAAAGTCTTGCAAGTTGTTGAAACGAACGTACGCGGCGCTGCGGCGAGAGCCACATTTTGAAAACGACTCCGCCTCAATTTGTGAAGCTCCCACAAATTTGTTGAACGAATGTGCGCGGCGCTAAGGCGAGAGCCATATTTTGAAAACCACCCTTCCTCAATCCTTGAAGCTCCTGCATTTGTGTACACGAATGTGCGCGGCGTTGAAACGAGAACCACATGTTGAAAACGACCCGCCCTCAATCCGTGAAGCTCTTGCAAATTTTGAAAACGAATGTGCGCGGCGCTACGGCCAGAGCCACATTTTGAAAACGAACCGCCCTCCATTTGTGAAACTTCTGCCACTTTTGAAACTTCAGAATCAAAACAGGTGAGGAAGTCTCAGGCGAAGCGCCCGGCCCGCCCTAAAAACCAGCCTCGGGGTGCGACAAGGAGAAGTTATTTATAAGGAGAAGGAATGGAGGAGGAGGAGGAGGAGGAGGAGGAGGAGAGGAGGAGGAGGAGGAGGAGGAGGAGGAGGAGGAGGAGGAGGGGAGGGGGGGAGGGGGGGGGAGGGGGAGGAGGGGAGGAGGGGGGAGGGGGAGGGAGGGAGGGGGAGGGGATGGGGGGGAGCCTGGAAGGAGGGGGAGCCTGGAAAGGGGATGGGGGAGGGGAGGGGGGGGAGCCTGGAGGGAGGGGGGAAGGGGGGAGAGGGGGGGGGGGGAGCCTGGAAGGAGGCCGCGCCTCGCCGTGCCACGCGGCGCCCTACGCGCCCGACGGGCCCAGGAGCGCTTTCACCTTGGCGACGAGCCGGCGCGGCCAGCTCCTCTTGCCCGCGTCGGGGGTCCTCTCGGCAGCGGCGGGCAGACGAAACGGGGGGGTGGAAGGATGGGGGCGGGGATGAAAAAAACGGGGGGGGGCAAGGATGAGTCCCGCGGAGGAAGAAGAAAACGGGGGGGGGGAAGAAACGGCAGAGTCCCGCGGAGGATGAAGAAAACGGGGGCGGGAAGGATGAGGAGGGGAGGAGGAGAAGGAAGAGGAGGAGGAGGGAGAGGAGAAGGAGGAGGAGGAGGCCTCCTTGAGGAGGAGGAGGAGGAGGAGAAGGAGGAGAAGGAGGAGGAGGAGGAGGAGGAGGAGGAGGGGAGGAGAGAGATGATGATGGTGATGATGATGATGATGATGAGAGGAGGAGGAGAGGAGGAGGAGGGAGGAGGAGAGGAGAGGGAGGAGGAGGAGGAGGCGGAGGAGGAGAAGGCGGATGATGGTGATGATGATGATGATGAGGAGGAGGAGGAGGAGGATGAGGAGGAGAAGGAGGAGGAGGGGGAGGAGAAGGAGGAGTAGGAGGAGGCGGAGGAGGAGGAGGATGAGGAGGAGGAGGAGGAGGAGCAAGAACGCTACAATACAATCTGAGGGCTCAAGCCCGCTCAACGTCAAAAAACGAGGAGCATCGGGAGGAGCATAATCGGGAGCGCGAGCAGGGGAACGAGCAAGAGGATCAGCACGCGCGGAGCTGAACACAAGAACGAGGAGGGAAACCACGGGAGCGCAGTCCTCTTGGGCACCGTCAGGGCGTGGTTGGTGGGGTAGACCAGGGAGTCCTCGGCAACGAGGCGGCGCAGAGGCGGGGCGGCGCACGGCAGGACGAGGAGGGCGAGGTTCACGTGGAGGAGGAGGAGGGGCATAGAGAGAGGGGCAGGAAGAAGAGGGCCGCGGCAGGAGGAGTCGGAGGGGGGGAGGAGGGCGGGGACTTTCGAGAGGGAGAGGGGAGGAGGAGGAGGAGGAGGAGGAGGAGGAGGAGGAGGAGGAGAGGAGGAGGAGGAGGAGGAGGAGGAGGAGGAGGAGGAGGAGGAACAGCAGGAGCAGCAGGAGCAGGAGCAGGAGCAGGAGGAGGAGGAGGAGGAGGAGGAGGAGCAGGAGCAGGAGGAGAAGGTGGAGAAGGTGGCGGCAGAGAACAGGAAAACTCCTGGGGGGTCGTAGGAGCAGCGGAGGAGGGGAAGAAGGAGGATCAGAAATAGAAATAATGGGGTCAAGGGGGAAGTGAAGGGAGGACGAGGAGGCGAGAGTGAGGAAGAAGATCACGGGGAAGGAGGAAGAGGAGGAGGAGGAGGACCAAGGCTGGAGAAGGAGTATCGGGGAGAAACGCAGAGGGAGAGACGGAGGACCAGGTGTTGGGCTCTGCAGCACACCCTCCTTTGTGAAACCCCCTCCTTACAACTGAGCGTCTGCAAATCCCTCTTTTCAGTGCTACGGCGGGCGCCAGCCGGAAAGATGGGCCCCCCGGTGGGCCTGCGCATGGAGGTGTCAGAAGTGTCAGCTTTTATTCTTGGCAGGTAAGAAGTCGGAGGCAAGATCATGATTTGCAGCATAAAAGACGCTGTCCTTGCACCATTGGGAGGTGCTCGGACAGTATATTTTCCCGAGAGAATGAAGTCTCAAGCGAATGGTACATCTTGCAAACAAGCCACCTTCCCTCCGTGCACTCGTTGGCAACGTCGAGCTTTAGGGCAACAGAACGTGAAGAAATCGCGCTCGAGGGACAGACTTCGAAGACGACCCGCCCTCCATCCGTGCAGCTGTTGGAACATCCATGCCCCAAGACTGCCAAGAGTGTGATGGAGACTTCGGCGAGATCGGGATGTTGAACATGGGCCGCCCTCCCTGCGTGCAGCAACTGGGCACTTCACCGGCATCTGGGCCACGCAGTGTGGCGGGGCCTCGGGCGAAACGCCCAGCCCCTCCCGCCGACGCAGCCCTCGTGCCAGCACCGGGGAAGCCGAACAAGGAACGAGGGGGCTCCTCTGGCCGGGCCTCGGCTTCGGTGAGCTCTCTGCACGCCGCGCCTGCAGCCTGCGCCGCGCTGTGCCGGCGGTGCCAAGCGACGCCGTGGATTACTTCTGGTGCGGAGGGCCCGACCCCCCCTCCCCCCCCTCAGCAGGTCTTCGAAGGAGGCCTGTGGTGGTCTCGGAGCTCTCCAGAGGTCCGCGCAGGCGGGGAGAGGGACTCGGTGGGCGATGAGGGGCAGGAGGGAGGGAGGAATGGGGAGGAAGGAGGACGAGAGGGAAGAGCAGGAGAAGGACAGACGAGGAGGAGGAGGAGGAGGAGGAGGAGGAGGAGGAGAGAAGAGGAGGGAGAAGGAGGAGAGGGAGGACGGGGAACGCAAGATGCAGGAGAGGGGAGACGAGAGGAGGAGGAGCAGAAGGAGGAGATGGAGGACGATGGATCCAGGATGAGTGGGATGACGAAAAGGGAGCATGATAAGCATGATGGGCAGAAGGGAGACCTGGAGGAAGCTGGTGAAGCGTGATCGCCGTCGCCGCCGTCGCCGTCGTCGTAGTCGTCGTCGTTATCGTCATCGTCGTTGGCGTCGCCGTCGGCGGCGTCGTCGCCGAGGCCTCGGGCGCGTCGCTTGGCTGCACAGGTGCCTCGGAGGCGTCGCCATCCTGCGCCGGCGCCGCGGAGGCCGCGAAGCGAAAGCGGCCCTCGACATTCTTCACGACCTGGGCGACGAGGAAGACGACGTCGACGATGTTGGGGGATCGATGTGACGTCCTTATCCGCCTCCTCCTCCTCTTTCTCCTCCTCCTCCTCCTCCTGCTCCTCCTCCATCTCATCCTCCTTCTCCATCCTCCATTCTCCTATTCCTCCTCCTCTTCCAGCGTCTCCTCCTCCTCCTCCTCCTCCTCTTCCTCCTCCTCCTCATGCCTCTCCCATTCTTTTTCATCGTCCCCGTCCTCATCCTCACGACCTTGGCAAGAAAAAGGAGGAGGACGACGACGCCAGGGAGGATGGAGGTTTTTTGTGAGTTCGGCTATCTTTCTCTGGGCCTTACGGAGGAGCCAGGGACCTTGAGGTTGTAGGGGGTCCTCGGTACAATCCATCCTTTAGTGTTGATGCATCGCATGGATACTCATAGCATTCCTTTCGCACAGGAGTGGACGCATGCAGGTTGCCCCGCTGGTTGTCTTCAATATACAATTCGTTAACCCACGCCTGTCCAACTCGATCATATTTGCACTGGACACTGTTTGTCCTGATGCCGATAAGTTGAACAATGTGGCTTGGCCGAATTCTGCCATTGTTACGTGGCGTCATGATGATGTTGCTGGCAGATCGCCAAATCGGAATGCTGTCACGAAGTAAATTCTTGAGGCTCATCATGATCAAAACTTCGTACTCCATTCGCATGCCTGGCTGGATCCGTCCATCTCCAGGTAAGCACGGGCATCCGCGAATCATTTGCCTGCCTTTCTCTTTGGCATTGTCCTCGCTGCGGCGAGACAAACCAACGTGTAATAGATGCGGGACCTTCACCCATTGCGCACCGTGAATGAAGTTGTAGGTGCTCCCGTGGGGCGCAGGGAGAAAGTCGAACGGCCCCCCCCGCAGAACTTGAGTTTCTTCACGTGGAGCCTGTTCATCTGCATGCCTGAGTTGCCGACCACTCCGCAGAGGTCGAGCACCGCCAGTGCCTGATCGGCCCAATGCCGGCCTCGAAGGCACTTCTTAATGGTGTCCAGGTGATGGCTGTGCCAGTGCTAATTTCCTTCTGGCGGCCAATTTTCGGCGAGCTGGACTGCGATGGGGTCGGCGAGCTGGACGGCTCGGGGGTTGGCGATCTGGTCGGCGCGGGAATCGGCGAGCTGGCCGGTGCTGGAGTCGGCGAGCGGGTCGGCGAGGGGATCGGCGAGCTGGACCGCGCGGGGGTCGGCGAAGTGGTCGGCACGGGAGTCAGCGACCTTGAAGCACGACAGAAGTGCCAACAACCGCACGCGAATCATTGTGGTGCTGCTCAGGTCGTAGCAGCTATACCGCACATAGAAATAAAAATAATGGAACGAATGCTGCTTACGAGCATGAAGTGAGGAAGTATACCGCTGACCAGGGGTGCACGTGAAAGGTATGGTTACGAGCAGGACGAATGGCCTGATAGTCAGAGACACCACGCACATAAATAATAATGCAGTATTGTTAGCTTCACAATCGTGGTGCGGATGGGCCTGCTTCGAAGTCGCGCTGCGGGCAAAAACCCGGATGCCGCCACACACGCCGCACACATATGCAATAATGCGAATGATGCTCCCGGCCTGATACCCAACGGCGTGACGCAGCCACGCATGCGTGCCAATGATGCTCAGGAGTACGAGATACGGCCTGGTAGGCAGCGACACCATACACAAAAAGTGGGAAAAGCACGCGATAAGTCTGATGATGAACAGGTCGGTACCACACCCATCAATAAGAATGCCATTCTGTCTGCTTCACAGTCGCGCTGCGGCTGAGCCTGCAACGCAGACGCGCTGCGGGCAAAACCGCATGCCGCCACGCACGCCACACACGCAAAAATAATAATGCACATGATGCTCAAGGCCTGGTACAAAACGGCCTCACGCCCCCATGCAATAATGCAAATGATGCTGAAGAGCACGATATAAGTACGGTGATGATCAGGTCGAACGGCCTGAGGCGTTAGAGATGCGGAGGAAGGCGAAGACGAGATATCCATGATGGCGGGCAGAACGTCAACTCCTGCGCCGGCCAACGCGGCGCGCCTCCTCGACATGCGCTCGCCCTAGTTTTCCCCCCCGCTCCCGCGCTGGAGCGTTTCGATTCTCGGGGGGAAAGGGGTCGGCGGAGGTGGGGGCAATGCCGCTTCCTCCGCGGAAGTTGCCCACCTCGACCGCAACGTGCGCAAAGCCACCCAGTGACCTTTGGCGCCCTCTCTCGCTGCTTGGGCGAGTGCGTCGACAGCAACATCGAAATCGCATAGCCCTAAGTGTCTCATCCTGTTGGTGCACGTGTGCGCCGCGTAGATGGCAAGACCGAGCATGGGCAGCGTCTCCTTCGCGCGGATGCGCGGGTTGACCAGTGAGAAGGTGCGGAGATTGCAGAACACGTCTGGGTCGAGGCGCCACTTGCGTTAGAACGCTGCCCGGACGGCTTTGCATCGGCAGTTGTGCTCGATGCTGTCCTCGGAGCCGTCGCCGCAGCCGAACGGGCATTGCGCGCGGCCCTGAAAACACCTCGCTGTGGTCCATCGATTGAAGAGCTTCGAAAAGACTGCCGCCTGGGCGCGCGGCGGCGCGAGGCCCCCCAAGACCTGTAGCAGGTGGGATGCGCGCCGGCCCTGCCAGGCAGGTGTGCGTTCCTGTACGTCGCCATAGATGACCGCATGTCGACGTCCATCTTCCAGTTCCCATCTCTGGAGCTTCTGCCTCAGCCTCAACGCAGGGTTTGGCGCCATGCGGGCCGCCAAATGGGCGCGCACCGCCCGCTGGCAATCTTTCCGCCACGCCGCGCCCTGGACAATGGCGCGGGCGCCAGCCGGGCGATCTTCGTAAGCCCTCCGCCGTGGCGTGGTGCTGCTGGAGCTGGCTCTCTGCCTGGGCTAGGGCGAGGATGAAGCTGCGGCTGTGCCAGTCGATCCATGCGAAGCGGGAGCGTTCGCGCGGAGGGTTGCGCAGCGCTGCCCGCAGTCGCCCCGCGTCCTCCAGAAAACGCGCCCGCGGGGCGCAGGCCCCGTCGAACTGCGCCACCTGGGATCTTGGCCGCCAGGGTATACCACTGGATGTTGTAGAAGAAAGCCGTCAGCCAAAAGGACTCTCGCAACGCCCACAGGTCCGTAGAGGTCGCCCACTCGCCGGGGCCTTTGGCTGCCTTTTGTAAAGAGTGGCCAGCCGACTCGGCCAGCCAAGGCGGGGGCGTCGAGTTGAGCCACGTATCCCAATATAGGAATGGCAAACGTGTTGTAGACCCTCGCGTTGCAGCGAAGCCCGAGAGGCTGGTCTTGCCACATATCAACCCGGCCCATGTATTTCTGCCAGCCCCGGCTTGCGCCACGCAGAGTCGCCCTTGCCAGGTCCCATCTGGAAGCCCAGATATTTACAGCATGGGCACACCGGCATTGTAGCCCACTCAAGGACCTCGTTCGCCTTCCTGCGATCGAAGTCGTCGAACGTGGCTGCGCTGAGGGGTATCGCGCATGACTTCGCCACGTTGAGCCCCAGGCCAGATATTCTTTCGAAGACAGCAAACGTGTCGGCCAAGCCTGGAGCGGCTTTCCAGAAGTCCTGAAGCACCTATATGGCGTCGTCCGCGCAGGCCCTCACGAAAGCCTCTGGCGTCCTCTCCTCTATGGCGTCCAGGGAGGAGCTCGGCGGCGACGGCGTAGATGAGGGGGCTGAGAGGGCACCCTTGTCGGACTCCTGAAGACATGCTGAACCCGACGAATGTCTGCCCCTTCACGGACACGTTGCACCGGCACTCGTTGTACTACTCCGAAACGCAGTGACTGCATTAGCGGGGGCCCCGATGTGCACCAAACTTTCGTGGATGCACTGCTGCGAAATGGAAGGGAACGCAGCGGCAAAGTCGAGAAATACCGCCGCGGCGTTGTCGCCCTGCAAGGAGCGAAGCATCATCGCCGACTCTGCCTCGAGCAAATCTTTCAGGATGGAGCGGCCTCGGAGAAATCCTTGCTGTCTCGCGGACGAATCCGCTTAAGCGTTCCTCCCAGCGTAGTCTCATTGCGTTTGCGACCAGTCTGCGGTCGCAACTCAAAATGGAGAGTGGGCGGGTGTCCGCGGCCCGAAAGTACGTGCCCAGCTCAGGATCCCCCCCGCTGGGGGCCTTAGGTAAGCACGCCAGCGTGCCGAGGTTGTGCCCGTGAGTGCCGCTTTCGCTCTCGTCCGCGTACGCCTGTTGCAACGCCTCTGGCGCGTCCTCGCGCTCCAGCTCCCTGGCGACGCCGAAAAGGATAGATACCCCCAGCCCTTTGATGGCTCTCCACGCTGCGAAAGGAATCCTGTCTGGGCCCGGCGACGTGTCGCCAGCAGCGCGGATCGCCAGCTCGGTGTCGCAGCTGCGGACCTGCCACTTCCAAGCCTCGCTCAGAACGGCGTGCCGGGGGCGGCGGCGCCGGCGGAGAGGGTCGCCAGGGTGCACCACAAGCTCCTGCACCTGTTTGCCAGGCGCAACAGGGCGCAGGGAACCCAGCCATCGTCGCATCTCTCTCATGTCCACCAGCGGTGCCCTGAAAACCCGCTCGCAACGCACGTGGAGAGCGTCAGCCACCTCGTCTGTCTTGTCCGTGACGTCCCCGCTCTCGGTCTGCATGGCCGCCACCGCCGCGCTGCCTCCAGGGAGTAGACGCCTCAATTTGGTCTGGATGTTGGACTTACCGTGGGCGGTCGCCTCGAAGCCTTCTCCTTTTCTGGAACGAAGACTCTCGATTTCCTCCGTGATGGCCTGGCGCGACAACTGCACCGCCCAGCTCTTGAGCTGCCACAAGCCGCTTTGATTATTGCCTCTGGGTCTTCAGGGCTGACGTAATCGCAGATGGCGGGATATGCCTTGGCGCACCGGCGCATGCTCGTTAGATTGACGCTCTCAGCGGCCCTGGCGAAGCTGAGCACCCAACCCAATTCATGGTCGGTGCCATCTGCGCGCGCCTCGTCCTCGGAACGACGCATGCCCTTGGAAACTGTGCGCATGGCCCGTTTGACCAAAACCAACTGAGCCTCACGTGGGAGGCGGGCTGTCCGTCGGAAGCAAGGCGAGAATGACATTCCAAGGCAACCCGTCTTCCGTAGTCAGGGTGGGCCGTGGCACGGGTGGTGACGACCGTGCCCCCGCAACGGCTCGTGCCAGGAGTGGGACGACTAAAAGATAGAGCGCGGTGCGCTGATAGGTTTGTCGCTGGCATCACGTGTCGGCCGTAGTGCCTGTGTCCAAGTGGTCCGCCAAGGCGTGGTTTGAGTAGGCGCGGTCCAATCGGGAACGTGCGAGACCGCACTCGTGAGTAAAGAGCGGTTGGTGGATCTCTTGGAAGCCCTTCTGGCCGCACGTCAAATCCTGGAAGAATCTGGCCTCCGCCTGGTCGGCGTCCCCGGACCACACGCCGTCAGACTTCGACCAACGGTCCCGGCGATCCGCCACCGAGTTGAAATCCCCCACCGTGATGCTTAGAACACGGTCTGGTGGCTCCACGCGCTGCGCCAGACGGGTCAGAGTGGCTCTCCGCGCAGACCGGATATCCGGAGCAGAGCCCGACGCCAGGTAGACAACGAAGACATCGAGCGCGCCACGGGGCCCTCGAAGGGACAGCTTCGCCGCGCGACCTGCCTCGATCCCGACCCAGCTGTTCTCGTCGGGGGGGTTGAACCGCTCGACGAACTCAGGTTTCAACAACAAGCCGGTGCCGGCCTGAGAGTTGGAGCCGTGTGCCCAGAAAGAACAGCTCCCTGCTAGGGCTCTGGATGCCAATACTTTCCCATGCGTGCTGTGGGTTTCTGCCAGGCCCACAAAGTCACGTTGTGCAAAGAGCCTGTCCGCATAGCTTTGCTTGGCGTGGTGTAGCTCGGCATCGCTCGCAAAATACGCCTGGGAATTCCGGAACCCACCCGTGCAATCCCCGGTGTAGGGCCCGAGCATTGGCGGGAGTAGTGGGCCACGACGTTCCGGCACGAGCGCCGTCACCGTCAGGCCCCCGTCCGGCCCCGGACTGTCGGGATGTCAATGGTGCGGTGCACGAGCTGGTGTTGCAGATGAGTCACGTCGCGCTGGAACCTGCAGCGGCGCTGCCGCCAGTGGTGCTGCAGGATGCTCTGGTGCTGCTGGATGCTCTGGTGCTGCTGGATGCTCTGACGCTGGGCCCTGCGATGCTGCTGGTTGCTCTGGTGCTGCTGTCACTGGTGGTGCTGGGGCAAGTCGTGCTGGACATGGTTGTGCTGGAGGTGCTGGCGCTGGGGCACTCAGGCCTTCGTCTGGCCCCGAGTTGTCAGGATATGCCCGGTGCGTCACACGAGCTGGTGCTGCATATGAGTCCCGTCGCGCTGGAGACTGCAGTGCCGCTGGTTGCGTTGGTGCTGCTGCTGGTGGAGCTGCAGGCGCCCGTCGCGCAGGACCATGCGATGCTGCTGGATGTTCTGGTGTTGCTGCCAGTGGGACTGCTGGGACAGGTCGTGCTGGAAGCTGCGGTGCTGCCAGTTGCGCCAGGGGCGGTGGTTGCGCTGACGCTGCAACCGCTTGTGCTGCTGAGTCTCGTAGTGCTGGAGAGCGTGATGCCGCTGATTACGTTGATCCCGTTGCTGATGGGGCTGCAGGTCCCTCTTGTGCTGTACCCTGCGGGGCTGTCGGCTGGGCCTGCGCTTCAGCAAGTGGAGCCGTCAATCTCCGCCGTTCAGGGAACAGTGGTGTTTCTGAATGCGCTGGGGTTGCAGCGCGCGGCCCTGCCGATTCCCTGTGTGACGAAGACCGTGATGCCGCTGGCTGCGACGTCGCTGCTGCCACTGAACGTGCCCGCCCCGTTGGTGTTGGAAACTGCGGTGCTGCTGAATGTACTGGTGGTGATGCTGCTGGTGGAGCCGCTGCGGGTGGGGCTGCTGGTGCCCGTCTTCCAGGAAGCTGTGGTGTTGCTTGATGCGCTGACGATGCTGCCAGTCGAACTTCTGAGTCTCGTCGTGCTGGAAAGCGCGGCGCCCCTGGATTCGATAAACTCGCTGCTGAGGGAGCTGCAGGATCTAACGGGGCTGCCGGCTGCGTAGGTGATGTTGCCGATGGAAGTGCTGGTTTCCGTCGTATTGGAGGTGCGGCTGGCTGCACTGAAACTGCTGCTGTTGGAGCCGCTGCGAACATGACTGCCGATTCCCACTGCGTTGGAGCAGCTGGGAGTGATACTGGTGCCGAATGTACTGCTGGCTCCCGTCGCGCTGGATATTGACGTGTTGCTTGGTGCACTGGTGCTGCTGCCCGCGGGGGTTCTGTCAGGCCGCCCGGAGCATCTGGCGGATGCAATGCCAGGGGTGCAGCGCTGGGATGGGGAGGGGGGGTAGGAGTGGGCCCAGATGGGAGGTTCGTGTCGGACGCTGGAGGGGTTGGGAAGGTGGCGGGGTGCGGGTTGGGAAGGGTAGGGAAGGTGGCGGGGCGCACTGGGGGCCTTCGGAGTGGGCAGGGGTCGCACGCCGATGAACGCGGAGCTGCACTGGTCCGCCGGCGTGAGGAGGATGAGGATGGAGGCCTCGGAGAAAATGCAGCTGCCGTAGGTGATGTCGAATTCGGTGGAGGTGCTGCAAACTGAGGCGCTGCTGGATGCTCGCGTGCTGCTGTCCCAGGTAGTGTCGTTCCCCGTCGTGCTGGGGGCCCTGCCGCTGTAGGATGTGCTGACGGTGGCGCTGATGCCAGCGGTGCTGCCAGGTCTCGGCGAGCGAGCGCTACTGGGTGCTCTGGTGTTGCTGCGACTGATGCGCAGGGTTCCAATCGTGCTGGCAACTGCGGTAGGTCTGGTTGCACGGGTGTCGTATCTGGTGATGCTGCTGCTTCCCGTCGTACTGGAAACTGCGGCTCTGTCGGATCCGCCGGGGTTGCTGGATGCGTTGGTGCAGCTGCGGACGGTGCTGCTGGGTCCCATAGACATGGAGGTAATGCAGCTGCTGGGTGCGGCGACGTAGCTGTTGACAGCGCTGCCCGGACTGCCAAGGCCCGACGAACTGGCAGTACCGATGCTGCTGAGTGCGCTGGTGTGGCTGGCGGCGGTACTGCAACGTCCCGTCGCACTGGAAGCGATGTAGTTGCTGGATGCGCCAGGGCTGCTGCTGCCGGCGCTGCCGGGTCCCGTCGAACTGGAGGTAGTGGTGCTGCTGGATTCACTTATGCAGTTACTGTCGGTATTGCTAGGTCCCGTCCTGCGGTTGCTGGTGCTGCCCGTTCTCGTCGTACTAGTGGTAATGGTGAACCTGCATGCGCCGGTGCTGCTGTAGACGGCGCCGCTAAGGGACGCGCTAGATCCGCTGCCGGTGGCGTGGCCAATCTCCGACGTTTCGGGCGCAATGGTGCTGCTGCATGTATTGGGGCGCCTGCGCGCAAACCAACTGGGCGCACAGGAGCCAGAGTCGGAGGTGTTGCTGGCTGCGAGAGGGCTGTCGCTTGTGGTAGGAGTGCCCGATCCACCGATGCTGAAGGCTGCGTCGCTGTCGGGTGCGTTGGTGGCGTGTCCGATGGTGTTGCGAGTTCCCGTCGAGCTGAAAACTCAGATGCCGCTGGATGTAATGGCGGCGTTAACCCATGGCACGGCCAGGTCCCGAGGCACTGAGAGCTGCGATGGTGCGGGATACGCTGGCACTGCTGCCCGTGGTGCTTCCAGCACCCGTCCTGCAGGATGAGGTGCTGCCCGACGCGCTGGGGCTGCTGCGAGTGGGAACAAAAGTTCCTCCAATGCCAGAAACTGCAGTGCCGTGAAGGGCGCGGGAGCTGCTGTCTGCAGCGCCTGCGGCTCCCGTCGCGCTGGAGCCTGTGAGGCTGCTCGATGCGTCGGGGCTGCTGGCGGTGGCGGCGTGGCAACCGGCACTGCCGCGGAGCTGGTCGCCCGGGGAACGGCCAAACTGAGTAGGAGGGTGTCGATCACATCCCTGACCTGCTGAGCCGCGACTAGGGCTGAGACGATCATGGCCTGCAGGACGTGGGCCTCCAAGGCATGGGGTATCATCCCGTGCGATCTCTCCCCGTCGCAGTGGCCGCAAACGAAATACATAAAAGACGAGCGTGCGTGGCGTTGAAGCGAGAGCTGCATGTTGGAGAACGGCCTGCCCTCCATCCGTGAAGCCCCTGCAACCTTTCACATCCTTTTGCGACCCATGTGCACGGCGCAGAGGCGAGAGCCACCGTTTGACAATGGCCCGCCCTCCATTCCTGAAGCTGCTGCTGACTTCAACGACCAGTGTGCGCAGCGCTCAAGCCAGAGCCACACTTTGAAAACGATCCGCCCTCCACCGTTGAAGCTGCCGGAGATGTCACGCTTCAGGAACATGAGCGGTGCGGGAGCTTCAAGGGACACGCCCGGCCCACCCCGACGACACGTGTGGGGGTGCGACCGGGAGGAGTTGTTTACGAGGAAGGGGATGGGCGGGAAGGGAGGGAGGAGGTAGGGAAGCAGGGAGGGAGAAGGGAGCGAGGTCAGCGGGAGGAGGAAGAGGACGAGGAGGAGGAGGAGAAGGACGCAGGAGGAGGCCAGGAGGCGGGGGTGGCGGAGGACCGTGGACGCGGCAGCGAGCTCGGGCTCGGCCTCGATCGCCACCCCCGCCTCCCGCGGCGGAGCGGCCGGCTTGCTAAAGAAGGCGGCGAACTTCTGCGGCTGCGCGTCGGCCCTCGTCGGTGAGAACGCGCGGCTGACCAGTACCACCCTCCTCCGCTTTCCTCCTCCTCCTCCTCCTCCTCCTCCTCCTCCTCCTCCTTCTCTTCCTCCTCTTCCTCCTCCTCCTCCTCCACAACCTCCTCCTCCTCCTCCTCTTGCTCTTGTCCTCTTCCCTGTCCTGTTCCTGTTCCTCCACCTCCTCCTCCTCCTCTCCTCTTCCTCCTCCACCTCCTCCTCCTCCTCCTCCTCCTCCTCCTCCTCCTCCTCCCTCCTCACTTTGGCTCAAAATATTGCGTGGCCTCGCCCGCGTGCGCCCCCTGCTCGGCGAGGCGCAACTGCGGGATGCCGGGCCCTATAGAAGGGGCCGCCGGGCGGGCCGCGGTGCTGGACAAAACGCGCCTCACGATGTTGGGCGCCCGAGTTATCCGGGGTAACTCGGGTCCGAGGTAACTCGGGTTTGGATTCCCGAAAAACGAACCCGAGTTAGCCCTGACCCGAGTTACCCCTGATGATTCGGGGCCCTGGACGCCCGAATTATCCGGGGTAACTCGGGTCCGGGGTAACTCGGGTTCGGATTCCCGAAAAACGAACCCGAGTTATCCCTGACCCGAGTTACCCCTGATGATTCGGGGCTCTGACGATGGGTCTTGATGACGGTTTTGACTGGACGGGCCGGTGCTGCTGCAACTCCTCGTCCTCCTGCTCCCCTCACGCCTGGACCCCGTGGGAAGAAACGAATCACGACCACCGCGTTCGCCGGGGACCCTCATCACGGGTCCGTCTGGCTCGAGAATTGCCGCCAGAATCCGCCGACTCAGCCGGCGTGTGTGAGACGCTGTCGTCGTCTTCGTCGTCGTCGCCAGTAACAAGGAAAACTAGAAGGGAACAAAGAAGCAAAAACTTCGCAAAAGAAACGCCGTAATTACGTCGACTTCCTCTCCTTTCCCCCTCCCTGACGGGGGGGCCGTGCGGGAGGGGAGGGTAAGGGAAGGGAGGGGGGTCCTGGGCCAGATTACCGCCCCCCCTCAGGGGCCCAGCGGCCCTCCCTCCCCTCCCCCCCCCATGGAGAATACCCCTCCCCTCGCCTCGGCCCCGGCCCCAGCCCCGAGCCCAGGCTGGCTCTGGTCCCGGCCCCAGCCCTGCCACA